ACTGTGGAGGTGAAGAAAGCATGGAGGGCTAAGACAGTGTCGAAGAGCAAACAGGCCGCTTCTACCTTCAGTCATTCTCTGCAATTCCCCTTCCCTGAACAGAAAAGCTGACAAACTACGAGTCAACACCAGAATGAAATCCATAACGTACACGGTTACAGCTAAAAAGTCTTTAAAATGTTTTAAATGAGGCTGTGAAGGCCAATGAAAAAATAACTACTTTTATGCAAGGTTTGAAAAAGTTCATTTCTTTCAAGAGCAAAATGGGACTCTAGTTATATATCCTGCATCTGACTGTCCAAAAATCACCATTGACCAGCATGTACCACCAGGACTGTTCTCACACACCTGCCCCAGGAAGGCCTCTGAGCCAGACGGCATCCCTCAGGTTCCTGCTGAAATCATGCTACGATCAGAGGTGAGGCCTGGTGCCATGTCTACAAGAAGTCGTTTGACTTACACACTGTTTTTTCCATCTGTTCTTAAAAAAGCATGCTGTAATGAAAATAACAACTATCGACCTGTTGCTTTGACTTCGGTAGTTATGCAGTACTTTAAGAAAATCATTAACAACCTATTGAAAATAGAAGTCAACTGTTCACTTGATCCTTTTCAGTTTGCTTACAGGTGTAATACAGGCAGAGACGATGCCGTCACAGCCAGGGTACATTATATGTATGCCATTGGTGGATTCTGCTTCTTATGTACATCTTTTCATCATTTACTACTGTAACTACATCATTAAATTCTCAGATGATATTGCCATAGGTTTAATGAGGGACGAAGACATTTTGGAGTGTTTTTTTAGAAATACAAAGATTTGTAGCAAAGTGTGATGATAACCACCTGGTGGTGAATATTAAAATGTCAGAGGAGATGGTGTTTGAGCCTAGAGGAGTGGGTGACCACAGGCCTGTACATATAGCTTGGTGTTTTTACAGAGCACTGCCCTGGAGTGCGCATGTTCATAGTCTCTGTTGCAGGGCTACAACATCGTCTGCACTTCTTGCAGTGACTCAGAGTTCACGGTGTTGATACCATGTTGTCATTTGAATAGATTTAAAAGCTGTATTATTCCTACTGCAATAAAATTTTCAAATGGCAGCAGATATAATCTATTAAGCAGCAGTGTATTGTTTTCTCTGTCTTTTGTGTTGTATGTTTTGATTATTATGCTCTTATGTTACTTGTTCTCTGTAGTTGTCTTACCCTGCATTTATATATGTAGATTGTTTTGGATGCTGCATGGGTGAAACCTTGAGCCAAATTTCCTACAGTGTGGGGCAATAAAGTAAACCTTAGATCTTGAAATCTCATGGTGGCTCTAGAGAAAGGGTCAGTGGATCACCAAAGTAATTAGGATTCATCCTCTGTGGACTGTTAATATCTGTACAAAACCTTGCGCCAATCTGGTAGATGTTGACATGGCTCACAGGATGAGCAAAAATTTGACCTACTGGTGGCGCTAGATGAAATTCCTGGGATCAACAAAGTCACCAAGATTCATCATCTGGGGAACAAGAATGTCCAGGTAGATTTTAGGATATTGACGGGATAAGTGAACATTTTGACATGCTGGTGGTGCTACACAAAAAGTCAGAGGATCACTAAAATCTGTAAGGTTCATCCTGTGGGGACCATGAATATCTGTAACAAATGTTGTCCAACAGTTTTCAGTAAACTTCACCAAAAACCACAAATGTCAACCTCATGTTGGAACTAAAGGAAAAGTGAGGGGATCGCCCTAGTCAGTAGGATTCACCCTCTGGAGACCACAAATGTCTGTGCAAGATTTAATGGGAATTCATTACTGAGACAGCACTCAGGTGGTGAACCCACTGACCAGCCACTAGTGTGGTTTAGACACATTATTTTCTAAAAATGAATTTTCAACTCCATAGAACCACCTTGTGTCAGAGCATAAAATAAGATTGGGTAGAGGGTACTCCAGTCTGTTTTCCTTCAGGCGATGTTGCGGTTAATCATTTAGCAAAGCAAGGTAAGGTTGATTTAACACCCTCTCCATAACTTACTAATGTAAAAAGAAATCACAAACATGGGCATGATTTGTTGGCTGTCAGTGTTTTTTTTTCTCTGAAAGGTACCTAAGCTGTCAAGTAAATGGATCAGGTCACCTTGTTGTTTTAGCTTCTGTTTCATTTCAACCCATGAGGATACACCTGCCTGTATGATTCGTCTTAGGTTTTACGAGATGAAAACTGACAAAAAAAGTCTCTTTCATCCTCAAACTCATAATTTGGTGTTCCAGGTCCTCTTTGAATTAGTTCCTATTTCACCTTCATATCTGCATTAGTTCACTGATGTTCACTCAGGACTGAATCCTTCATAAAATACAATGGTGCATGTTAAATGTGTCCAACAGTGAGGAATTGATTGAAGTTGAAGCTGGCAATTAGTTTCATTGATAACTGTAGCGGCGGGGAGGAACACACCGAACACAGGAAGGCATAACACATCTCCTGAATGGAAACAGTTCCATTACTCTCTGTCGGCTGTCCTCACTTTCCTCCTCACCATTCATCTACGGATGTAATGACCAAAGGAAAGAGCAAGCTGATCTGTCAGGATGATTCACTGTCAATTTACAGGGTTTTTTATAAAGCTCCGCTCTGCTGCAGCCGGGGAGATGAACCCAGCCTCCTAACTCTTCTTATAATCTACATATTGACACATATGATGGTACAGCGCTGATTGGGAACGACTATGTGGAGATGACTTCTCAGCAAACACTTAAATTTGACTGAGTGTGGTGTCAGAAGGTGATAACTGGAGTGGCTATTAGCTGCTGGATTGGTACAGACTATGTTATAACATGTGATACAGTACTGAACAGTTTTATGACTTGCTGTTTGAATTTGTTTTGTCATGCAGTAAATGTATTTGAATAAAATGCTCGTTTACAATCAATCACAGTTTCAATTTCTTGGTGACATTGGGTTTAATGCTCATAGCAATGTGCTGCCCAGCTTATGCCAAAATTGATTTAAGATATGGAACCTAGGCTTCCAGCAAGCTTGTACTTGCAGCACATACTCTGTTTGCATATTCCAAAGGAGAAAGGCTTGTTTTGAAAAGATGCATTATATTATCTGATATATTGCCAAGTTATGCCTCAAGGTTTTGCAATATCTTCCAATGGCTTCAATGAGAAAGCACAAAAAATCTGAATTAAAGCAACATTTTGGGTTTGTTCTGGTTCTTGACAGCTACACATCTGTAAACAAAACCTGTGCACAGCCAGCTGGCCAGCTGTCTGGGCCTTAACTGAAAAAAATAGACTGCAGACTTTCCAATAAGTACAAAAACAAGGTGAGATCAGTATATACTTAAACTATACAAACAAACACACACACACACACGCACACACACACACACACACACACACACACACACACACACACACACACACACACACACACACACACACACACTTCTACACGTATCTTTGTCGGGTCTCGTCATTGACATAATGGATTCCCTTGATGAGCTCCCGAGATATTCTGTTCACAAGGCCAACACCGTATGTTGTGAGGTCACCATGACCTTGACCTTTGACCACCAAAATCTAATGAGTTCGTCCTTGAGAAATGTTCACGTAAAATTTGAAGAAATCCCTTCAAGGCGTTACTGAGGTATTGTGTTCATGACAATTGGACGGACGCAATTGATTAGTTAGTTTTGTTCCGATGTCAATTTGTAGCCTTATTCTGATTTGTCGGTTTGTAGCCATATTCTGATTGGTCGATTTGAAGCCACATTCTGATTGGTCGATTTGAAGCCACATTCTGATTGGTCGATTTGTTTAAAATCAAAAATAGTCAGTCCAGCAGTAATGGCAACAAAATGTACCTAAACTAACTAAAAATGCTCATTATACATAATGGGCCCTGTGAGTACTGTTTTCTTACATTACTAAACTGTTATTACTGATGCATTATCACCTCAGCACTTTAAAGTTGTAGTTGACCAAGGCAGAGGTAATTCTAACAGCCTTATATAGGCCTACATTTGGGTAGTTTAGCATTGCATCATATTTCATACACTGATGTTTTGACAATAAAATCTTCATTTGAAAAGAAATAATCTATTAGTGAATTAGTTATATGTAAAGTACAAGTACCTCAGAATTGAACTTAGGTACAGTGCTTGAGTGAACGTATATCAACCTGATTTTTACACGGATTAGAAATAACAGTTTTATGGTGGTGATAAAACATAATTCCTCCACAGTGTAGTTACAGTTAGCAGTATGAGCAGTATGAGCAGTATGACTACAGCAGCTCTGCAGCGACTGATGCTGCTATAATAGAAGACTGCCTCAGCAGCAAGCTGCGAGTTTGACCAAATCAAGCAGGTGAAAGAAACATTAGAGAGTAAACCGATTCTCCAATTCATACAATATGCTTCACAATTCACTCCGTCACAGGGCGTCATTGATCGGTGCCTCATGCGCTTCTTGGAAATAAGGTGACTGGCGCCATTGCGTGGCATAATGGAAAATTACTGCATGGCAGTCAGTCAGTTGGTAATCATCATCTCATAAGTCCTGTAATTAAAAATAAAAGTGAGGGTGAGGAGGCTGAAAGGAGAAAGATAGAACGTGTTTTGATTTATGATGACTGAAATGCCTTGATTTATTATAACGGAGCTGCACCGACTGTGAATGAAAGTCTATGCAAACATGACATTTCAGACCCTTTTTTTCCCCACTGCAATGTCCTCGATTTCTTTCCAAGCCTCTTCACCTCCAACCTTTAAATAACCGGAGGCAGGCGATATTCCGATGTAATTAATGCAAATTGTTGGTGTTTAAACAAAGTTAAGCCCTGAACGTCGGAGCGCACTCAACCAGAAACCACTTTGAGTTCATCCATCCCATTTCCTGGACCGAGTTCTTGAGGGAGGGCCCATAAAGCAGGCATGGGAAAGTTCGCCCCACTTTTTCCGATTACATCGATTCTTTTTAAAGAGGGCTCACACAAGTCGACTGGAGTTGTGTGGACAACGTCTGTAAGGAAACAGTAGGAGACATTAGGGTGACAGTAAAAGCACACTCGGTGCTGAGCCCGGTAAAACAGGCAGGAGACAAACACCGCTTCACGAGAGAGAAAGGTGAGAAATCTCTTCGATAATTAAAAAAAAAAATCTGATGAGGATTGTATATGTGTATTTGTGTTTTTTATTCCTATAGGGTCATAATCATATGTCTCTGTCGTTCTCAGTAGTTGTCAATTAGCATTTGAAGTTTTTAATCCCCCAAAGTGACAGAATAACATTTCTACAGGTGTCTCATGAATCCCAGAACTTTCTTAATGACTTTTGGTTCATTACCTTTTCTTTACCTTTTGTATTCCTATAGTGAATTTCAGAGTGTCTTAACTTTTAAAGTTTCAGTCAAACTTGTTAAATTACATTCACATTTTTTATAGAAATTACTATTATTATTACGATTATTTGCTCTGTTGTAGCTGGGGTTTTTTTTAATTTGTGATTTCTTTGACGTAACAAGAATTTAAAGTATGCCAATAATACACCTTGTGAAATTAAAAAGATTTAAAAAGTAGACCTCTCAATAGTCCTATTAAAAGTCTATTGTGACTTGTAGTGTGTGTGGCTCTAATGATTTATTGGTTGTATATATACAGTATTATCTTAAGCTATTTTTCTATCTGGAATGGCAAACTGGTATTCTGTGGTATGTTTTGTAGAGATAATAATAATAATCCTCAAGACAATACTCCCTGAAGTGGATCAGCCTGGTTATCATTTTTGTGCCTGTTCAGCAGGACACAATCCCTGACAGCCCATTGTCTTGTCTCATCCTGTCAGAGGAGTTTGTATTTTCATAATTAGAAAAAAGTTGTTTTTTGTCTCAGAGGGGAAGAAATAACAGAAAAACATAAATAGTCTAAACAAATAGACAAGTGTCACAGCAGTGTCTCGACTCCCCCGCACAGGATGTTTATTCAGATGCTTGTGTGCGTGTGTGTGTGTGTGTGTGTGTGTGTGTGTGTGTGTGTATGTGTGTGTGTGTGTCTGCGTGCGTATGCATGTTGAGTTTCCTGTCATTTATCATCAACAATGTCCAACAACTGTCCTTCAATACATCATTAGTTTTATGAAATCACTCACTTTATATAATTTGAATCTGCTTTAATAAATCCTTTTTTTTTTTTTTTTTAATCTTTTTAAATAATGTACATGATTCTCCTGTATACTGTGAAACTTTGAGTGGCCTGTCTTGGACTCATTTACTCCAGTTTGACTGTGAACAGTGAAAGTGCACCATGTTTCCATTCATATAAAATAACTTGTGTGCCATGTGTTTTTGTTTTAGTTTATTTTAGTGTATGGAGGCCTTGTTTTTCACATCTTTATGATGAGGAGTTGGAGCTCACCCGAACAACAGTATGAGCTAATGGAAGAACTAATAGGGGCCTATAGTCAGATACACATGTTACTTAGTAAAAAATAAATACACCATTATACTTAAGAGGTCGGAGAAACTTAGCTCATTGGCTGTGTATAGAAATGATTAAAGACTTACACATTAGCTGTGCGTTTATGAAAACCCTTGAGAATGTTGTATAGGATATGAAATATACCAAGTAGGTGTGAAGCAGAACATTCAAGCCGGTGTGTTTCAGCAACGTAGCAGTAAATGAAAAGGTGGCTAAACTATATGACCTGCATAACAACTCCATCTAGACCCGTGGGCAGGATCCAATCATCTGAGACAACAGCTCACAATTTGAACAGGCAGTCAAGGGTCTAAAGAGGTGATTTGAAGGTGGTTTGTTTGGCAACAGTTGGGCTCCATCAGGTCAGACCTGACACTAGTTCACAAAAAAGAGGCATCACAATATTTTTAAGAATGATTGGATGAGCCGGACAGTTTTTCCAAAGTGATATAGAAGAATCAAATGCTAGTTTGAAAAAGCAGATAATGTGTATTTTATAAAACTGTAGAAAAATCTTAGATTAATAAATTAAACCTGTCTGGCTTATTATAGAATCCCCCTCAGGGTGAATATGAGCCTGTACAGTTTCACACTTTCAATATCGAGGCTGCAAATTTCACTTTTCTGCTGCTGAACGGTTTTTAAAGGCGGAAAATTGTACTGATTTTTACTTGCCCTCCTTAAAAGAACCTGTGCTTATTTAGGATCTTTGGTTATATTTTACAAAATGTTACAAAAATTCTGTGTGCCGGCTTAAAATTTCTTAAAAGGAAACTCACGTTCTCTCATTTCTCCCTGATCAATCCATCCATCCTTAATCTACCAACTGTCCCTCTTAGAAGCAGAGGATGTCCAGAGCTGACTGGACCTTCCTGGAGCACCTGTTGGAGGAGGGCCAGGAATATTCGACAGGCATCGGCCGCATCTGGCTTACTGTACTCTTTCTGTTTCGCATGCTGGTCCTGGGAACTGCGGCCGAATCTGCCTGGGATGACGAGCAAGCTGGCTTCATCTGCAACACGAAACAACCTGGCTGCGCTGCCGTCTGCTATGACAAAGCCTTCCCCATTTCCCACTTTCGCTACTTTGTCCTCCAAGTCATCATCGTCTCCACGCCGACAATCTTTTATTTTGGATATGTGGCTATAAGGGCTAGAAAAGGCAAGGAGAAAGAGAAGGAAAATTATAAGGAAGGAGGTGGTGGGAGTGAGCGAGGAGAAGTTGTTGTAAAAAGGGATGATGAGAATGCGACTAAAGACAATGCAGAGGAGACGGAGAAACAAGAGAATGTTGGGAAATGTAGAAAAGTTGTCAAGCCGCCCCCTGAGCTGCCTAAACTGAAAGGCAGGCTGCTGTGTGCATATGCATTCAGCATCCTGTTTAAAGTCCTCCTGGAAGCTGGCTTCATAATAGGGCTGTGGCTCCTCTACGACGGCTTCTTCATTGAGGCAAAGTTCGAGTGCGTAGCGTACCCTTGCCCTCACACGGTGGACTGCTTTGTCTCTCGACCCACGGAGAAGACCATCTTCACCATCTACACTCAGGTGATTGCTGCCATCTCCCTGCTCCTCAACCTCATCGAGCTCCTCCACCTCCTCCAGCTCGCCATCTCCCACAACCTGGAGAAGCGCTACCGTGCCCAGGAGCAAGACTGCCGACCTTGGTCTGTGCAGGTACCGGCCGGACAGCAGACTCCAGAACTTCCAGCGGAGGTGTCGCAGTCTTACCAAACAGGGAGCCATGTTAACCTCCCCATGCAGGGTGAGGCTGCATGCTACCCCAACCCCTGTGAGAGCTACAGGGATCTGGCAATAGAGTCAAACTGGGGACCTGAGGAAGCTGCAAATGACCTGCTTCCTAGTTATATGAACTGCATGGGGGCTATGAGGACAACACATTCCCCTAGAAACCATCATATAAAAAAAGCACAGCACACTGTTAAAAACAGTAAAGGTGCCCATAAGGGACACTTGAAGAAGAAGCACTATGTTTGATGCAGTCAAGTTGGGTGATAATGTTGTTTATGACTATGAAAGCTTTCTTTGGTTTCTGACTCTTCCATTGTATAAATACTTTTGTGCACATGACACTTGGGTCTCAGGAGCGCACGTTGAGCTCAGATGAGGGAAGATCTAGAACAACTATTGCACTGTGAACTCGATGCCTCAAAGGCAGGTAGACATTCAAGCCGAGATTTACCAGATAAATGGACCTATTCAAAACGAAACATTTTGAGAACACTTCCGCAGGCAAAGAAAATGAGACTCCACTGTGAGAGAAGATTACAGTCATAAGATGCCTTCTTGTTACATTTAATGGCTTATAGTGCTTAATGTGACAGTGTAAAAGAAAAAAAACACTGCCGGGGGTGGGGGGGGGGGGGGGGGGGTTCTAGGGATAGTGTGTGAGTGTCTATGGGAGGGACGGCAGTAGAACCAGATTTAAACATATTCTTTTGGGATTTGCACTGTAACCCCTGAACCCCTGGAGCTGTTTGAAGCCCCCCCCCCTTTCTCCCCATGGTTCTGTCCACACTGTGGAATGTACTGCTCTCTGGGTCCCGCTCAAGCTCCCAGGGGGATAATGACTGTGTGGATGCAGGCACGCATGCATGCACACACACACATACAATGTACTCTTCCCCTTTCACCCAGTGAGGTTTTGGTCACTTCAGCTGGGGATATGGGACTTGGGAAGGCACAGAGTAAAAGAGAAAACCGTGGAACTTCTGAGATTGTACATGACTTATCATTTGCCAGTAACCGTAGTATTTCATCTATGAAGAGAGAGGGAGAGAGAGGACCACTGCATACTTCATCACGAGGGCTGAATAATGGAGCAAAGACGAGCATCCGGTTTGAAAAGCAAACCTTTTAGTGAGGATGAGAGAGAACTCAAAAGTGCATTAGTAAATGCATATTGAATGGACTGAAAGGTACAGAGATGTGCATATTCAATGAAAGGAAAAGACTAATTATGTGAAAACTGTATTTAATGTTTAAGATATTGTGGAAAAAAATACCATTGTTAATATTTATTATTTTGAATAAAATAAAGTGTAAGCTAGCATAAATTAACGATGACACTCGTTTATTCAGTTATCATTTTTCCAAACAATCACATACTGGAATCTAGACAAAAGGCTTGTGCACATGGAGGTTTTAGTCCCTTTTCTTTCTGAATACAGTGATGAGATTTCTATGCGGGGAAGTGTGTGTTGCTCCTGTGTCTAAGCGTACACTTTCCACCATCCAAATACTGTCAAAATACGGAGGCACTAAATCACTCAAGAGAAAGCGCTTTGGGAATAATAGAAAGGCCAAGGTGTGGAGAAGTGGATGAGCCTTACACGGGATCATGAGCATAACCTCTCGAGGGGGAAGAAAAAAAAAATCAGGGAAATATCTTTGATTTAATGGCTGTTTTCAAATCTGAAGCTCTGGCTGTAGAGAAGAAAGGCATCAATTATATGCCAGTAAAAGTTCATACAAGATGGAACAGCACTTTATGCTGGCTCTATTTAATATTCGTTGGGGAGTTACTGACTGTTAACACTGTTTTCTTGGAGAGCAAATGAGAGAATCCAGAACTCAGCACCTTCAACAAAGGTGCTCGCTCAGGCTCTGAATGGATGTGGTCATATGTCTTTTCAGAGATGTAGCTGCAGTCCTCTGCAGTACGGCACTCATTTCCAGCAATTTACTGAACTGTCTCCATGACGATAAGCAGTTATCTATAGCAGGAAAGGGGGTTTATGGGAAATTTAAGTGAGGCAGGTTCTCATAAAGCAGCTTGAGCTACGTGAGGCCAAACAAGTCGAATACACAGCTGGAAAACAGAAATTAAAAAAGATTTTTGAAATATTTTCTTTTCTTTGACAGCAGTTTTATCTAAATGTGATAGGAATTAACAATAGGAAGACTATCTCTCAGTCCTCAGAGTGGAATGTGTTTTTATTCCAGGCTGCCTCTCCCTGTGTCAAGGATAAATTGGCAGATATTGTCGAGAGAACAATCCAAACAGAGCCTGCTGAAGCTGCCCAGTTCAATGCCTGTTCACGAGAACTTGGCTGGCATTTCCGCACAGTCTTGTTATCTCAGTCCAGGTGGGCGGGTGCGTGTGTTTGTGTGTGTGTGTGTGTGTGTGTGCGCTTGCGTGCATGTGTCCACGTGACTGTTCATGTGTATGTTTTCACAAAAAAAAAAGAAAAAAAAAGCCAGGGGGTCATAGAACAGATTGCGTGCTGTGACCCCGTATCGGCCCTCTGCTGCCAACGAAAGCCAGCAGCGGAACAGCGGAGCGCCGCTTTGCATCCATCTTTCTTATAGCCGATCAAAAACCGGAGAAACCCAACGCCATGCTATATTCTCTCCACAGAGTAAACTCTCACCTCCTGTTCAGTGAAGCAAATATAAATGTCCAGGATGAAAACAACAGTGAGTGCAGGTCATTTGTTGTTCCTACAGTGATTTTTCCGTCCACAGTCAATATCTGCCTTCCAGAGAAATTGCAGCCCTCCTATCAAGCCCCCTAACAGTGCAGATGAGAGTGATGTTTTTGGCTCTATGTTTCTCTGTCAGAACAATAGGACATTAATAAAATGTTCTTCCATTCATCGGTTTGATTACCTCTTATTCATGTCTAGACTATTTCCTTAATTCGGGGCAATCAAATGAAATCAGACACTGCTTTCAGAGGACATTCAAACAAAAGCTTTGCAGTGGAGAAATTGGTTTGTGTCAAGATATGCTAATAAAAATAAGTGGGGGACATTAGCTGGGAAGACCCCAAATCTGTGCGACAGGCAATCCTCACCAGTCATACAGGGATCAGATGCCATTCTGACTGTGTTTCCTGACATTGTTGGAGTCACTGCTGATGCATTTCCTCACTCTGTTGGTGCTGCTGATCAAACACAAAGAAGAGTAATCTTGTGGTTTGGTGAATGAGTGGACACACACACACACACACACACACACACACACAAGCACGCACGCAGGCACGCACGCAAACACACGCACACACACACCGTGTCAGACTGTAAAGCAGTTCAAAGGGCCATCAAGCAGCCTCTGGGCTCCGGCAGGTTTTTATAAAAGGGCAACTGTTTTATGCTGAAAGGCAACTCTCCTTTAGGGAAGGTCTTACCAACCATGCTCTACACCAGTCATTGGAGGGTCTTTACAGGGTCCACCCAATATGTATGTGCCAGGCCAGGCTAAAAAAAGGGTTGCTCTGCTGTCACACTTCCTGTCAGCTGTACTGCCGAAGTCCCTGCGTTTATCCAGGAAGCTTCCTGGATAGGCAGAGAAAGCACTCACGCACACAAACATGCACTCAAGAAGTCTGGAATGATCAGTGTGACCTCTGTTTACAAAATGGACACTTTCTCACACACACACACACAGACACACAAACAAGGGCCCGGCATGGCTTAAAAAAGCAGGCTACAGGGTGAATGAGGTCGTTGCAATATCTCTTTATTTGGGTGCAATCGGAAATAATCTACTTTGCATGGCAAAGACCACGTTTTAGGGCTCTGTGTTTATGTTATAGTGCGTGTGTGTATGTGTGGAAGGCATAGTGTTGCATGCGCCAACTCCCTTTGTACATACACACAATACCGCCACACGACTTTGTCCGTATCCATAACAATGTCATGACCAAGTACCCAGTCCTTAATTTGGGCATTTGTGCTACTCAACAACACAACACAAAAAAAGCGGTTCCTAAATTTAAACGCTGGACTAAACTGAGGAAGCGGGTCTGTATCTGTTTCCTGTTCCAGTATAGTTTTGTGTCTCCACAGGGATTGGTCGCTAGGGATTGTTCACCCTGACAATGGGGCTGCAGTGGGCATTGTTGCATTGTTTTGTCCCGGCTCCCCTGTGTTTGGTAGACCTAATGTCACGGCCGGCCAATCAAAGGCCTGTGAAGGATGGGGGGGGGGAAATGGGCAAAGCGCCTGCTGTACGCCTGGAGTCAATTAAGAGAGCTGGTACCACTTATGGCTCTCGGAGATTTGTGTCCGTGTTGAGAGCTGTAACAATAAGAGTGAATGGAGAGTGGGGTCCTTTTTGGGTTATGACTTTCCAGATATTCAATGTTTAAAGCTGCATCAATCAAGATTTTTATATTTACAATGGATCAAATCACTATGTGTAATGTGAAAGCTGTTGCCTATAATGAAGAACCCGCAAATAAATGTTGCAAGACTACAGTCCCCCTCAGCTTTATGGAGCGTTTACGTCTTTCAGCTGTTTTGCTTTTACGACATTGCGACTGTACTTTTATTCTTCTCTTTTTATTCTGGTTTTTCTCACCGCTCTCATCAAACTTGTCCCCAACAGTTTGAAGTGTAAAAGCTCTGCTAAACCCACTGTAAGCTACGTGCTCAAAATCAAACAACAAAGACAACGTTCGCAACCAGCTGGCGAACATAACGAAGCATGTAGCAAGTAAAGAGACAAGTATTTCTGCTCAGGAGTTGGTAGAGACGAAAAAAAGCTAACAGGATACTGGACTGACATTTGTGAGTGGTCAGAAACATTAACTCAACTGAATGCTAATGTTGCTCTGTATCTGCGGTTGTTAAATAAGTACTTCTAACATACTCGCCAAAACAACTGTATAAGGTGACAGCTTGGTTTGCTGTCCCCAAGTGGCAAAAATAAAAAAAAAGGAAAATATTGCAGCTTTAAAGTTTTGTATGTGCATTCTGTAAACCTGGTAATTGCCCTGTAAGTGTAATTTTAAGAATAAGAACAATACATTTTAGTTATGGAGCACATTTTAAGATACTCAATGATGCTTTGCACAAGAAGCTATAAACACAGTAAAAGCATGAGGAAGCACAGGACATTAAATCAAAAGGGAGGAGCCCTGTCACCTCAGGTCCGGGGCTTGGCCCTACATGGTGGAGACAGGATGTTGGGGTTAGGTGATCGGAGTCTGCGGGAAGGAGTGTGGCAGTGGAGAAGGCTGGGGGGATAGGACCGGGCGTGGTTATACGTTTCTGAAAACAGCAGTTATCAGTCATCGTACATTAGAACTCAAAGTATGGCCGATAAGTGTTGACTGATTTTTGAGTAATATATAGTTTAAAAATGTATGTAAAATATATAGTTTTAAAAGTTTAGTGGCCGTTTTTCATTCTTTAAAAATTTTAGTGAGTGTACCTGCAAATGTTTCTATTATGTTTATCTTGAGGCTTCCCCTCTGTGTTTGATATAGAGCGTTACCTGTATTCCCAGATTCGGTGTATGTGTGTATTATGTGAATGTGTGTGTGGTTGTTTAATAGGGGGAAGTGGTGCCTTTCCAGCAGGCAGACAGCTCTATTGTTCCTGCAGCAGAGGGAACACCGTCTCCGGCCTGTCCACTCAGGATGTTGGATAGGACCTCCTTAAAAAACAAAAAACAAAAAAGAACAGCCAGCATCTCCCGTACCCATTATCCCCATCATCCAGCAAGAACAATGGAACACCTCCCATCACCTCCCTTTCTTTTTCCCATGAGCCTCTGAGCCTGGTTCCCACAGTACTGTCCAGTTGTGAGGAGCTGGGCCATTGTTAAGACAGCTGACCTGTCCTCCAACTGTTCCCAGGAGGAAAAACACATACACACACACACACACCTTTCACACACCTAAAGACCTCACACCGCCTGTTCTCCCCCTCTGTGTAATTTAGCTGCGGCCTCACCTACACCTTTCCATCCTCACTAGTTTCAAATGGAAACTTCCAACAGCTTGAAGTAATTGCCACAACATGTACAACCGGGGTCACTGGAGCGGAGCTGGTCATTGCACTGATAGCAAACTTAAGAGGGGAGTACAAGCTGATGACTGCCGATAGCACAGCAGCGTTTACCATTCCGGTGCCAGTGTAAATCTGGGCCTCATTATGTTCCCCCATTTCACTGGCTGGCAGGGCAACGTAGCGGAACTTCTCCTGGCACGCTGGAAAAGTTACCATCCATTACGAGAGCTCCTGGAGCGCGGGAGAGATGATCGTTTCTGTTTCATTTTTTCACACAGGAAAGGCTGCTGGACTGGGGCAGAAGTGTCAACAAAATAATTATTTGAGTTCTTTGCAAGTGCATGCGAGTTATCACATGTCCAATTTAAAAAGCCTCTTAAAAGTTTTCATTCTGTCACGTTTACGACATCAATAACTTCTCCGTCTTCAATCAACAATGAATTCTTATTGAAGTCTTTGCTTCCAGACCACATCGCTAGTCATGTCTTAGTTATGAGGATAATAAAGATTTTCTTTATTGAATATGTGGAAACAGTTCCCTGTTTCTGCCTTTGCAGGCAGGTCATGTTGGGTACAGGCAACATCACTGAACTGCTCATGTTCAACGATACTATAATTATTCAGAATAAACATACCACATCTTTACTCATGATTTAAATGATCAGGCAGGAGAAATCAGTGGGCTACCAAGATGAATCATTGCTTTTGTTGGAGTAGTATATAAATCTGTGACATTACAGATGGATTGCGAGACAGAGTAGAAAGCTGCCCATAAAAGGATAAACAATATTTTAGCCTCATGTTGTTCTACTGATGCCTTTATCAAAAGGAATGTTTTCACATAACTATCTATGTTCTTGCACGTATAACCTTTAGTGGTATGATGCATGTCAAGTTCAACAGCAATGCCAGTTAACAACAACTGTGATCCGTGTCCAAACGCATAAATAAAAGCTAAACATACACTGCAGCAATGCTAGCTCGCTGATCACAAAAACAGATTTACCTGTGGTGAGCCATGTTCTTCAAACGTGGCTTAACTAGACCAGGCTAACATGCTGTTATCAGGATAAAAAATTAGCCAGTTAATTCTCATCCAGCTAACTGGGTTCTTTGAATAACATCTTTTTCTCTCTCTTATTTGGTAATAAAGGCAAAATGAAAGCAGATACCATACCCAAGTGTTATTTTATGTGTACACCATTCTAATTGAAGTCTCTGCTTCCTGACCACATCACTAGTCTTGTTTTAATAATGAGGATAATAAAGATTTTCTTTATTGAATATGTGGAATCTGTTCCCTGTTACTTCCTCTGCTGGGAGGTCATGAGAGTGATGTGTTCATGTTTAAGTAGATTTAGTTGTATGGCGAAGTGTTTGTCAGACAATCATCATCTAATAATTTACCTTTAGTTTATAAACTTATTCCAATATAAAATTAATTGTTTCTAAGAACGTAAAAACTTACGATACAAGTACAACTCATTAATTTAACTGTTTAGTGATGAATGGAAATGTAATATCATGGTTAAAATTTTTTTTTGGTTCCATCAGTCATCACATTCTACAAGTTCTAACTGAATATACAGTGTACTGAGAAAGAGAAAACCCAAGCTATGAGATGGAAGGAAGTGCCTGCAGAGCTCAGAGACAGGATTTTATCAAGGCACAGACCTGGGGAAGACTAGAAAAAAATATTTCCTGCTCAGTGGCCTCCAAAATTCTTAAATGGAAGAGGTTTGGAACAACCACAACTCTTCCTAGAGCTGGCCATCGAGCCGAACTGAGCACTTGGGGGAGAAGGACCTTGGTAAGAGAGGTGACCGAGAAACCTGATGGTCACTCTGGCTGAGCTCCAGTGCGGAGATGGGAGAAACTTCCAGAAGGACAGCCATCACTGAAGCCCTCCACCGATCTGCGCTTTATGACAGAGCGGGCAGACGGAAACCTCTCTTCAGTGAAAGTTTGCAAAAAAAGCACCTAAATGTGAAAATACACTTTTATTAAACTATTTCTTTTATTTTGCTGTGTATTCTATCATTGTATAGGTACTCTTTATTGTGAAAACAACAAATTATAATAGTTTATCAGTATATATATATATATAAATAAATAAAAGGGGGGGGGTAATTTGTATCTGAGACTACACGGGTTCACCTTTAAAACTCTGGGTCATGAATCAGCTGACAGGGAATAAACCTGCATTTTTAAGCTCAAGGATTTGCCGCTCAGACCACAGCCGCAGGTCAATTTAAAGCCAACTTTGAAGAAGTGAAAAATCCAGGCATGTGTCAAACAATCAAGTCAAGTTAATTCAAGTCATCCTCATATGAAAAACAGTGTTTTAGCCGACAAAATAACAATGCTGAACTTTCAGAATGGATTCCTCTTTTCTTCAAATTTGTGCCAGAGGTCAAATTCCAAAAGGTGAATAGGTTGTTCATTTCCCCATTTATCATCGCTTTGTCTACTGTGTTCTCTTTCAAATAATTTCCTTGAGCAGAGTCATTACTTCCTTCCTTGGTCTTAGATGTTACTTTCTGTCCTTGCCAGCATTATTGTTTCATAATAAAGGGGGATTTGATATTTGTTCAGATGTGAATGTGAAACAATGCCTCTGAAAAACAAGTGACAAAAAATGAAACTAAAAGTTTTCTGATGTTGTTGCAATAAATCTACAGAGGAAATTTCCCTAAGATGATCCGTGACTGAGACCATTAACTGAGTGGTCAGTCGGACATGCACTTTCAGCATATAAACACAAATTTCTTTTATTATGCACATTTTTAAGTAATACACAATTAAAACTTCAAGTGTCCAAAAAGAAAAAAAAAAATCCAGACTTTCTAAAATGAAAGTATCGTGTAGATGTTCAAGACAACAGGACTTAACAGCTTAAACTTCCTGAGAGACCTCCCACACTGCTGGCTTATTTTGTCACATACCATCAAACGATATATGAGATTAAAAAGAGCTAGACAACAAAGACCTGTCTTTCTTCCTCCGCTTTCATGTTCACAATCAGACATTCTTTCTTAACATAAAGAAAAGATTAAAGAAAGACAGAAACACTTGTGTGCGTCAGGCTTGGAACATGACATTCGTTTGTTTGCGAGAAATATCAACATAAAGTCACAATAAAATCTGTGTCAGTGCCACAACTAGATTTAAATAAAAACAGACCATGTTTCTCTTTACTTGAAGCCAGAGGACAAGCTGACAACAAATTCAAACCTTGTAGTCAGTTCAAAGCCTGAACACCCAAAGGTTCCATATTCACGTTGTTGTAATTACAGTGACTTGATTTAGTTATTTGTTATAACGCACAAACAGGCATGTGCAACATCAAGTGGAAGGTCAGAGAACCACGTACAGCACGTATACGCTATATTTGACTGGATACAAGACAGAGTATATGTTTTTTAATTACCCTCCTGTTTCTAGACAGTGTCTGAAGTTAACACAGGCAAGCTGATTCTTTCTGGTGGCCAGGAGTGAGGATGTATGGCTGCGCTGAATTGGAAGAATAAGTGTTTTTGCCCTCTGGTTCACCCCTTTTGCTCCCAGTGCACTTATCCTCCTGCTGAGAAAGGGCAAACACGAGTGTCTACCACCAGCAGCTGGTTAGCTCTTTTCGGGTCGGTTCCTGTTCAAAGCTGCTTTGGGTGTAAACTCCAGTTTCTCTTTCAGGCTAAGCACCTGTGTGCTGTCCATACCCACTTGTTCCTGCAGCTTCCTCTCCTCCCTCAGCTCCAGGATGCCCTTCTCCTCCTCTCGAGATTTCGGGGTCCCTCTGATGAACCACTCCAGGTGGTAGCCCACTGCTCCGACCACAAAGGCAACAGGAAAGGTGACATAAGGAGCATAGGTCCGCAGTGCTGTCCACATTACAGGCCACATGATTGAACACTGCTCTGGCTCCCAGGTGCTCTATGGTGAAAGACAGAATAAAGACTAAGTGAGTTTTAGCTAACATTAATCATAATTACAGTAATATAATTGGAGGGAATAGTTAAGGGCCATTCATTCACAAAAAAAAACATTATCTTACCTCACTAGTTCTGATTTGATCATTTAAACTGTAATAAACATTTCTTCTCTATTGGTTCCCCCTTGTGGTTCCAACCTGATTCTGACAGTTAAATCAAATCATGTACTGCTGCATAATATGTAACTGAATTTAATAATAGGCTTTTACCAGCATGAAAGTACATGTCTGCTGTTGAGACCGTAAGAAAAACACAGTTGAGAAAAGAGTGAGTTTAACCAACCTAAAAATAGTTCAGGTAATAATCGTCTTCAAGACAAGAGTGTAGTTTTCTTTGCCAAATTTGCCAACCCATGAGTTAAAAAAAATGTATTTAACATGTGAAAATAGAGCATACCCATACATGTAATGATAATGTGCATTTTTTGTAGTCACCATATTTATACTCAGTGAAATATGCAGGCCTATCTGTCCTTCTCATGCCCTCCTCGCCTTCTCTTAGCAGTCTATGGCTGCAAACCAACAACAAATAGCCATAGCATGCACACAAACAAATGACGCAACAGAGCAGTTAACAGTAACTACGTCCAAAAAGTACAATTTCTCAAATGTAAGCTGCTGAAACACCCTAAGGAATCTAATGTATTCTCCACTGTCAGCATAACTTTATATTTATGTATGAACGCTTCATGTTACGATAACGTTTAACATTTACAAAAGTTAGTTTTGTGGTAAGGTGCTTTTTTGCTCGTGTGTCACATGCATGCCGAATAGAAAAGGGGTTCTCCGCGATTCGTAAAAGTTATTGATTGACGTTCCACTTCGTTTGGTTAACTTAGTACATGAGCAGGAAAAATTTCATGGCCTAATTTCTTACGGGGTTTGGCGGCGTCGCGTCGGTTTAACTGTTAAGCTAACCGATGAATGGCGAGTAGCTGGGCTCAAACGAACGCAGTGACATATCGTCTTAAAATATTAGACTATAGCTAATATTTTTCAAAAGGCTATCTTCAAGTACTGGGTTATGTGGCGTTACAATGTCATCTAAGAAACTGTTTGTAACAGGTAACATTAGTAACGTTAACGTTTTAATCCTAGCAATGACACTCCACACTCCACCCGTTGAGTTTACTTGAAATGTGCCTGTGTCTATGTTTATCTCTCAAAGAGTTTGATAATGACACTAGTTTATCTCACTAGTCTTCACTCACCTCTACCGTTAGCACGTTGATGCAGCAGTGGATCGACGCAACTTCCGCCCGACTGTCTGTGACCTTCCTGGTTCATCCTCATTGGTTGGTGAGCTTCGCTCTGTTGTAGCCAAGAAGGTTTCATCTACGTTTGCCTCAGTGTTTCAGCGCCGCCTAGTGATACAAGTGCTACACTACTCTGAGAGTAGGAATGCCAAAATAATCATCACATTTTTGTTAACACAAAGGGAATCAACAATAACTACTTTTATTGCTGGTACTGATAGTGGCTGGTACCAATAAATTGTATGACACTTAGTAATAATTAGCCTACTTTATAAACAATAAAAAACATATGTATGTTTAATCGAAGGTAATTAAAATGTGGACTCAATGCCAAAGAGAATGAAACTATTCAGATTACATATGAAGTTAATATAACAGAATTGCAACATTTATAAAGTAATTAATTGTTCGAATGGCTTTCGACACCTGAAACAAAACAACTTTTTGCCACAGGAAAAACAATCAAATTTTATTTTAAAATGTCTTATTAAGCTGTTGAAGTATCAAATACTTTATAATCAAACAACCTGAAAAGCATGTGTTTTATGACTATATTTGTGCCAAAGGGAGCTGAGTTCTTGCATAACACATTGCACTGGGAGTCATAAAAATACCATCTCTTTCTGTGTTCAAACACTCGATGGCATTCTTGTGCAGAATCCTCCTCTCAAGAAATTCTCATGAGAGGCTGACAGATCTGTCACCAGTATTGTGTCATATGTTGACAAGGAGTGAGCTACCCCTCTTGGATCACAACCCCCTCAACTGCCAAGATAGGTTTCTCTTAGTTTTTAAAAGCACAGTTTGGCATATATATATAGACAGAGACACTTTCATAGGCTTGGTATACTGTTGAAAGACACAAACCGTTTCACAAGGGCTTTGCTTTTGTTTACATAAACTGCCTTTGAGGGATGCAGAGAAACTGTGTCCATTTCAGTCACCCAGTGGGAAACCATAAACAGCAGAGTTGCGTGTAATGGAAAAAAAATATTCTACTGTATTTTCTGGGAAGTGAATCATTAAGTTTTCTTTGGAAAGCTCTGTATGATTGATGACGCTGAAAGCTAAAACTATACCAATGCTGGGCGCAAGGCTGATCTATAGTGGCTGGAATGCAGCCTGTCAAGGAGCAATGACCACTTCTGACTTATTGGTCATTTGTGAAGACACAGGAAGAGAAAAAAAAAGGGTCCTATATCCAAATTTTTATGTTAATATTACTTCCAGTGACTGCTGTAATGGTTGATTAACAGGATTCTATGTGGGTGATTACGTTTCATGCTTCAAAATGATTCCTCCCTCTGTGCTGTCCATCTTGTAGTTGCCAGAACTGGCATTTGATCAGTCCTGTCAGATAAAGTGAAATGTGCTCATTCCCCGCGGGAAAACAACATTACTAGTGCCAGTTCTACTTAACCACCAACCTTAGCAATGCCAGGATTATTTCATCAGCTTCTGTTTATTAGTACATGAGATTTAGAGCTGCACTAGCCAAGATTTTTATGTAAAAATACAACCGGCTTATCAGTCCAAATAACAAACTGGGGCTGACAGAGTGGAGTGTCACATCCTCCCTAACTGAAGCCCCATAGACCTGTTCTGTTTGCCCAAGTTAATTACAGATGTCAGGCTTGGTCAGTGGTGGGAAATTTCCTCATTACACAGGAAATGACAATCAGGATTTAGGTTAAATCACTGCTGAATCACGTAAGCCAGAGGAAGTCTGCTGCACGACTCTCTATGGGCTGAAACCTTCAAGCATGGTGCACTTCTGGCCACACTTGGAAGTCCCCAAACTCAATCTTTTGAAAGCAGTGTAGACACTTTACTACCTCCATGTTCAGGTGACATGTCAACAGAGGAGGGTGGATGGCAAGGAGAATATGACTCAAAGCGTGCTTAAGGACCTAGGACAGCTAAATTTAGTTTCAGATTAAGATGGAGGGAGAGGAGTAAGGACGAGATGGATGTGAGATATGACCAAAAAGGATGCACCAGAGGATTTGATAGATTGCCTGTGATTTGGAAAGAGACGAGGAGAAGCAGGAGGACTCTTGACACAGACTGTGATCAAGCAGAGTAACAGATGGTGAGGAAAAGAAGCGCCAGATGTGGAGGGGGAAAACCGGCTCTTTTGCTCTTTTGTGCAGCCAATCTGTCCTACAAAGGGAGAAACGAGTAACCAATTTTCTTTTTTTTTTTAAAAAGGTCAAAGGTCATGAGTGTGGTCTAGAATTCAAAATAAAATAAAATAACAATTCAGAAATTATTTTTCTCAGTTTAAGTACTTACAGTTACTGAACAGAAGAAACCTCAAACCAAGCTCTCAGAAATGTCACACACCATATCTGTCGCATTGACAGTAAAGTAGTAGCCTGCTGGTGTTACTATGGTATGGCTGCTTTTACACAATATGAACCTGTTAGATACAGATCAAACACGACACGCAGTATGTAGCTTCATATATCCAAACTCTTGTAGGGAACTGTGTTTTTTTTTCGTTAGTGTGAATGGTTGTCAATTGAGGAAATGATACAATCACAATGTGATACAAAAGCATTTATTTATTTCTGGCATTAAGAACCGTTTTGGCATATTCAGCAATCAGAATATAACGTATACCTCAGTGGTGTGTGTTATCTGTTACAATGTTGGCCCCAGAGTCACTGAGGAGAAAGTGACAAACATCATGGAGAACCTGCTTTGTTCATTGCGTTGGGTCTTTTATGTTTTGGTCACAGATATATATATTTTTTTAATCTATGGATGATACTGGCTTACAGGAAAGCAATTTGGCAAAAAAACAAAGAAACATTTTCTTTCTAAACACTCCAAATGACTTAGTTACAGGGCTTTAAAAGCAGCACTCCACTAAATGTGAGGTTAGTATAACTCAGGTATTAGAAAACATGCATTTTTTTTTTTTTACACACATTGCAACAAAAGCAATATTCAATACAATGTGCAACCAGAGTGGAAATACCCCTGATATATATATATGAATTTAAAAGGGTAATGTTTTAATGGCACAGTGCCATGTAAATGCTGCATGTGAGGAAATTCACAGATATATCATAGTCGTTGTCATACAGACAAATGCATGTACTCTACTGTAGGAGCAGAGCAATTATCAATAGTGAATTCGTTTCATTCTTTCACTTATTTTCTTTTATCTCCTCTAGTCCAATGTTCAGTGCTGATGTTAGTAAACAAGAGACTTGCAAATTGTCACTATCACCAAGGCATCTATGGTAAGACTGCTCAGAAGAACTTGGAGTGTAACCTTAATGCAGTAAAGGTTTTAGTTGCCTTAACAAGAGCTTTATTTACAGCAACAAGCCATGGAATAATGTGGACTGGCTGTACTGCATACATACCAAGATGTGGGGGCACTTATGGGAGAAGCCTGAAAACTGAGCAGAATATGACCTGAACATGGAATGATGCTGTGTATCCGCAGTGCAGAGAGGACTGTCAGTGGCTCACATGAGCCTGGTGATGGCACCAGAGAGGAAATCCTCATAGTTGAGCCGGACGTTGCCCGTCATGGACGTGTCCCTCTCCCTGAAGACCTGCGTCATGCTCTGGAGCTGGGTGCACACATGGATGAAGCGGTCCAGCTGGATGCCGGGTCGCCCGCCCCGGAAGGAGAAGCGCTGCACCAACGTCTCAGAGAACTGGGGACTGAGGTTGTAGCCCATCTGAGCGAGGGCTGAGGAGAGGAGGGTGATGGAGGAAAGAGAAACAAGACTGGAGTGAATTCTTGTTTCTCCGTTGAAAGATTTGGGTTTTCCTTTGGTCTTACTGTTGCAAGATTAAAACATAATTATACAGACACATCCAAATTAACTGTAGCATATTTAACATGCACAAACAGGGATACCTTGGTGAAGCTCTGTGCCACTGATAGACCCTGAGCGGTCTCTGTCATACTGCTGAAACAACGCTCTCCACCGCTGCATGAAGTCCCACAGTGCTGAGAAGCTAAACACGTCCATTCGACCTGACCGTGTCTTGTCAAACATGTCTAGAAGAAAATTAAAAAAAAACACAGTGTGTTCAGCCAAACATGAGTCGGACAGTTTCCCTCACTTATTATTGTTGCACATTCTTTTGAAATAGAGCAAAACTGCGAGGTGCATCATCCGCATGTTTCCAGCAAGCCGGTCCTCCATCATCATGGATCTACTCCTTATGCTATCTAAAAGCAGCACACAGAAGTCACACATTTCTCATTATGGTAATGGTAGACATTAGTCACTGCCTTGCAAACGCAACTGGAGATACTCACACAAAAAACAGGCAACAACACAAACATGGCTCAGTCATTTTTTAGGCTGACTCCTGGTTGCCTGAATTTATCCTTTTAGAAACAGAAGAAATTTCTATTAAGAATGGGAGATTGAGGAGGCTGCTGACATATAAAACCACCCTGTTTTCTTTTCCTCAACACTCCCTTATCCATTTGTTTTTCCTCAATAACCTTCCCCTCCCCTTCACTGTAGCCATTGAGGTCTCTGAAACTATTTTCACTAAATTAAACACTGTGCCATTCAGCCTCAAGAAACACTGTCAAAACATTTATAACAAGTTCATCAGCAGAGAGCAACCTCACACTCCACTGAGCATTTCATTTGGCTGCAGCTGGATGACTTACTGATCATCATGAGGCAGGTCTCGTCATTAAAAGCCGACCAGTTGGAGTTGACAAGTGCCTGCTTCAGCTCCTTGAGGTTGATGAAGCCGCTGTGGTCCGTGTCAACAGTGTGAAACCACTGGTACGCCTCTGGGTTAACACCAGGAGGAATGTTACCTACAGAGATGAAAAAAATCAGAGCAATGGGATGGTGAAGAGAGAGGAGAGATGGGTTCAGACTGTCTTTGAAGACAGCCATCACTTGAAGATTGTTTTCTTTGCATGTTCTTGTTTCCAACACTGTTTACCTTTCCTTCTTCTTCTTCTCCTTCAATCTGTCTCAGCCAACCAGTTTGATTTATTCTCTTTATTGTTTTCCATCTTTATATTTTCTACCACTTATTATTATTTCACTGTAGCTCTCAGGCTTTGAGGAGTAAGGAGAATATATGAAAACAAGAAGTAGTAAAAGAAAGAAGGAGAAAAAAGAGAAAAAGACTGAAGATTCTTAGAAATGAAGCATCTGCCTCGTTCTGATGCAAAATAATTGTTTATTTACTGGGAGATGAAGAAACACACTTCCACCGTCTGACAGATGAAGCTGTGCTGACTCCATCAAGCAGAAACTTGATCATAAAAAATAATACATCTGTGCTCGACTCAGTCTGGTAAACAGTATGGTATATAATGACTGTAACACACAATATACTCTATATATAATTGACATGCCATATATAAATATAATTCATACAACTAAGTACATTTTAAATGTGCCGGAGTTAACAAAAGGCAGTAGGTGTCTGCATTTTACTTGCTCGAAGAAACCGTGGATATGAGAAAAACCATTATAATTTTAGAATAAGAATAAGAATACTAAACATAATATGCATAATAATGATGTTTAATAATGTACTGTCCTTCAAGTAAAGGATAATAGCTAATCTCCCCCCTAATACTTCCTAGCTAGTACCTCCCCAACCGTAGTAATACATGCTAAGTGTTTTCATCAGGCACTGAATGTGAAAAAAGGTAGAGGCAGGGTCAAAGATTGAGAAAAAGTCATCTTAGTGAGAAGGAAATGTGTCCGGACAAGAGGCTGTTACCCGAATACGTGGAGAAAAAGGAAGGGAGAGTTGGAAAATATGGTGTTAGACAAGGGGCGGAGTGGAGGGAGGGCTGATTGTCAGAGAAATGAATGGGGAGAGAGGGACAGGTGACACTTCAGGCCAGACCCTGATGGATTTGGTCCCTGTGGGGAGTGATGGCAGTGTAGGCTATTAGGTTCTGACTTCGGCTTAGCTTCTACAGGAAACAGTGTAATCACACATACACACACACACACAACACACTCTTTACCCATCTGTCTCTTACTCCGTTTAGCCCTCACTCAGTATTACTGGAGTCATCACTCCAGCCGTGTAATCCTGCTGAGGGGCACAAACTGAACCCTGTCTCTACATGACTGTCTGGGAACGTAAGTCATTTTCTATCCATCATCCCACCAGAGAGCAAGAGAGGACGAAAACGAGAGAGAAGCGATGAAGAAGGCGAATCAGAGCCTATCTGCAGTCTCCTCACGTTTAGAATATGCCTGTCCAACTCCCACAGGCGAAGGGAACCACAGATGCTTCCACAGCTCCAGTCTCAGCCTATAGTTACCTGCAGGAGCATGGTGTCCATAAGGTCCTCCATGAGGCTGTCCCCCGTAACCCCCATAAGGCCCACTGGGGGCAGCCCCTGGTCCATGCCCATATTGCCCTCCATGACCTGGGGCTCCATAACCACCATAAGGACCTCTTGGTGGACCTGCAGCACCTCCGTATGGAGCTGAGGGGGCAGGCCTATAGGCACCATGGCCTCCCCCATATGGCCCCCCTGGGGGTGGGTTGCCCCCTCCTGGATAGCCCTACAGTGAGAGATAATGGCAAAGTTCAGTGAGACTATATGATAAGTACAAAGAACAAACAGGTTTAGCGTATGAGATATACAGAGTACTTTAACTATATGTATAGAAGTACCCAGTGGTTAAAAGTACATTTACTCAAGCTGTACTTTAGTTATGTTCAGAGGAACTTGCACTTTACTTGAATATTTCCAGTGCAACTTTGTACTCCACTAAGTACATTTCAGAGAGAAATACATATTGTTCTAGATTTATCTGACAGCTACAGTCAGCCTGCAGATTAAGATTTTACTTACAAAACATGTCATTAGATTACAAAATCGTGACGCTATGTAGTATATGCAGAATCAGTGCTGAAACCATTAGTGGATTAATCCATTGAGAGAAAAATCCTCATAACTATTTTGATTATTGATGAACCATTCAGTTATTTTTCAGGCAAAGATAGTGAAAAAAAAATCAAACAATCCCAAGATCCAGCCTCTCAAATATGAGGATCTTTCTTTATCATATATCTCATAGTGTGAATACATTTGAGTTTTAGCTATTTGGTTGGACAAAACAAGACATCTGAAGACGTCACTGTGATCTCTGGGAACTTGTAATAGGCATTTTTTCCCCACATTTTGTGACATTTAATTGACAAATCAACCAACCAAAAAGAAATTCATCAGTAGATAATTGATATCAATTCAAAGTAGTTACTCACTACAGGCCTACAAAGTAAGCAACACATATAACAATCTGGAGGGGGCCGTTCTAGGTTTTTCTACTTTTTAAGTTTAAATACACTGTGCTTACGAAACTTCTGCACTGTCCCTTAAACTGTAAGAAACTTTAAGTTGTGGTGGGATATGTTTACATGGAGGTATCGCTACTTTTACTAGGACAGAGTATGTGAATATGTCGGTACATATCTGCCCCGTTTTAGCTAAAGAAATAGTTACACTGGCTTCCACATGAAATTAACCAAGGCTGGCGTCAAACTAAAAATAGGAATAATTAACATTGACACATTGTTGACCAAAGCAATTTTTATATGCATAAAGCAAAACTGTCTACTGTTAAGTGAAATATAATAGATTACTTTACCTTTGTCAATCTTTTTACTTTACCAATCCCCTGCTAGCCAAAGTACACAAATGAAATGGCTAACGTTACTCGTGTTTCTATCGAATAAAGCATTAGCCTACGTTATATCAAGACGATAACACAGTTTTAAACTATACTAATAGGTTATTATAACTAACATACACAAAACACAAAGGGCAATATTTCTTTACCTGGCCGTAGTGGAAACTCATGTCAGACTAACTCCACTTCCTTCAATAACGCAGCCCCGGAGGCGGACACAGCAACGTTCGGCCGGCTCAGGCTAACTACTGGTGCATTTCCGGGTCTGTCAAAACCGCACCCGCGTCCCCTGTCCCTGATTGGACGATGGAGGGGAAATGTGTTGACGACAGAGCAGATACGTTATGTCCATAACTCTTGTATATATCACCCCTGGCGCTGTGCATATTTGCTGTCTGTCTTTGTTAATTATGTTGGTCTACTTCTTTTGTGCCTTACTTTGAATATGTAATGTAATTATTAATAATAAAAATAAATAAATAAATAAAAAACTCTGGTATATATCATCGAATAATTAGTGAGTTACTCACGCACTGTTTAATTCTGCAATAATTATAGAGTCTACTGGGATAACATAATATTTCAGTTATTTATTTTAATCTAATAGACATCTATGAATACTATAGTATTCTTATGAGAAACCAATGCATAATGCACTGGTGTTGTATGGGATGTAATATATTTTATATATATATATTCACATATTTAACTATACATTGTTTCATGTCTCTTTTTCAAAAAGAACAAAAGGAACACACACTTAAATATTTTAGTGAAATTACTTTATAGATCACAACAGCAAATACAAAATGTAGAACAAAATATATTATCTAGAATCTGACTTCATTCTTTTTTTAAACAAACAAACAAATTAATAAGAATGTGTGGGTATAAAAAGATGTTTGGTGTCATATTTCAGTGGCATGAATTAGTGCATACACGTGTCATACATTCATTGAGCGATTCTGATTTAATTGTGTGTGGACACAAAATGTCAACAAGGGCCAGAGTAACTTTTGAAGCATAATGAGGACAATTTCCATCATACTCCATATTTGAGAACAAAAACTTTTCAACTGATTTCTGCAGTTTACTGTGTCACACCTGAAGTGCTCTGTACTTTATTTTGTTTTATACGTTAGGGAGCAGTGTGTATTTTCAGGAAGTCCACTCTGTAACTACATCACATGGGGTCTTTCAACATTTTAGACTTTTAGCAGTTTTATTTACAAAGTATCTGATACCTGATCCTACTGGATGATAGGAATACACAAAAACACAGACATGCACACATCCACGCATTCATACACATACATAACCTTTTAGCTTCTTCTGCTTAATTTGCATGCATCAGGTGTGCATTCCTGCAGAAAGTCATTTAACATGATAGTATTCACAAACCACTGTCTTAGAAATCCCTGAATTGATGAATATCTCTTTGGCGGCGAGCTGCAGTTCATCATGTATTCTGGCACCTTGGGTAGTTAACTCAGTTTTTCAACATAGCTGCTGACATATTATTTTTTCTCTGCCGCATCCTCAGCCTTGATGTTAGTGAGGTTCTGGATGGATATTGTAGGATCCACTCTGATGGGTGAATTGGGCCTGAACCCTGACCTGGGCGCTGACAGCGGCGCCATCTCGTGAGTCTCTGCGAACATCCTCCTGTCTGCCTGAATCTTCTTTTTAAGGAGTTTCTGGATGCGTTTGCAGATGAGGTAAACCATCTCACAGATACACATGAAGATGCAGACGACAGAAGAAACCACCATGAAGAGGGTGAAGATCCTTTTCTCGGTGGGTCGGGATATGTAGCAGTCCACCGTGTTGGGGCACGGCGGCAGGGAGCACTTGGACAGTCGGGGCAAGTCATAACCTTCATAGACATGGTAGAGGATGTAGAGGAAGCCGGCATCGAAGCCTGCCTTGAAAATCAGACTCGCCTGTGAAAAGATGAGTGATGGTTAAAGTGGGAGACGCATTTTTCAGCAAGTTTAAAATGAATGACTGAAAAGTACATCTGCCTGTCCATCCATCACACAATATCCAAGTGGTTTCTCAGTCACTACATGTTTGAGTTCAGAAGAAATTATGCTTTTTTGACCTAATGCTCGATTTATAACAAAAAGAGAAAAGAAAATCAACCATTGCAAGATTTTAACTCATACAGCTACAGTCCAGTTTGGAGGGATGATAAAAACCTGTTACTGATTGGGGCAAAAGCTGCAAAAGAAACTGTCAAAGCTGTTTTTCTTGTGATGAGGACTAAACAAATAATATATAATTACACAGGTGTCTTCTTCACTCTCCTAGCCACTCATCCATGGCAATTATTTTTGACATTTCTAAGAATGACTAACTTCAGTTTGGTCATGGCCAAAGCACTGCTGGATCTGTTTTTTGTTGTTTTTTTTCTCTACATGTGGCATCTCCAGCAAAGCCAGAAATGAACTTCCATTACTTGGTTCTTACCAGGTACGTCCACCACAGCCCTCCACGTTTCTTCCCTGGGTTGGCATAGAGATGGGCGCCCTTGTGTGAGGCGGTGTACTTCGAGTCCTTCTTCTCCCGGTACTTGACGTGACCGACCACCATCAGTGATGGACAGGTGACGAAGATGAGCTGCAGGGCCCACAGGCGGATGTGGGAGATGGGGAAGACGTGGTCGTAGCACACGTTGAGGCAGCCCGGCTGGGCCGTGTTGCAGACAAAGTCCTTGCTGTCATCGCCCCACACCCGCTGGGCTGCCACCACGAACACCAGCACCCTGAAGACGAAGACCATGGAAAGCCAGACGCGACCGAACACGGTGGAGTATTTGTTGACCCCACTGAGGAGGGCCTCCAATGCAGACCAGTTCATGACTGCTGCCGAAGAGGTGGAGGAGGGAACGAAGGAGGCTGAGGGAGATGGAGGAGCTCTTCAGTAGCGCAAGTGGAATTGGTGGGATGGTGAGCTGACCTTGAGCAGCTGAAAGAGAAAGAGTAGATTAGAAAAAGGATAGCAGCAAGCACTTAAAAGCTAAAACCTTTCTATTCATTAGATAACAAACATTGCACAATTTTATTTTCGTATATTTCATTTTATTTTATAAGGCAAGAATTGCACCTGGGTGTAAAGAAAGTACTCCATTGATTTTGAACCACAACAGGTTTAAAGAAGATGGTCAAAATCAATGTAGCAGCTCAGATATCCTGACTTTACGTCCCTAAATTTTGGTAAAGAGGAACAAATCCTTAATTCTACATTTCCCATAATGAAACTAGATTGTGCGTTTTGTCATACCCACCCTGTCTGGTAAATGCACACATCATTCAAACTCCATGCCGCCAGTTTATAAAGCAAGCTTTCTGCTATGAATCTATAGTGTCCAAATCCAAGCTGACACAACCCAGAAGACATCACTGTGACATCATCAGACCATTTTACAGACTTGACAAAGCGCCACTAAAGCCCCAGGAGACATTATACAGCAACTCCCACACAAAGAAATGTACTCCTCATGACAAATTAACTTAATTTGATGTGGAAAATAAGTGGCATGGCCTTTTAAAGGTTTATGTATTTGCAAAATAAGTTGTATTGACTGTAGATACTGAGTTACAGTATCATACATATACACAATTAAATACATTTTACATGCAAAACTATTATTTTCCACATTCATATCAGTGAGACTATAAATATTGTGCTATTCCTCCACCCTAAGAAGCAGAATAAACAACCAACAACAATTTTAAAATGGTGATCACCTCTGAGGAAACAACAAACAAGACACTGTTCTCAAACAAACATATTCCCTGTCATACCTTATTTCTATTTGCACAGAGCCACCGTTTCAATACTGACTGGTTGAACATCAATGAGTAAGTCATCACCGGAGCCGCCCTTTGCTGAAAGGACAAACTAATACTCTCAATAGTCAGCTATTTGAACAGTGTGGCTGATCAGGCAGCCACAGTCATCTCTGTAATCCCAAATGCCTTTCGCAGTCTTCAAAGGACTGCTAAGGGACAGCATTTCACTTGTGAAGGGAATTTAAGTTAAAATATTACCATGTGGATTTAATGGTCTGATCGTGTGCAGACTTTAAAGATGGAGCTGTGATGGGTGTTCTTGTTATTTTTCTCTCTCTGTAGAGTTGAGTGGATGTTTCAATGAAGTGGCAGTTGCATGTGGGCGCGTGCATGTATGTGCATCACAGAATTACTGAGCTCTAAAATCAAATAGATACTCATGGATTTAGATCGGGATGGGAGGTTTGGAGCAACAGGTGTAACTGTTGAGGGAGGTGTGCAAACATCCTCTTTCTAATAGTGTAGTCACAAGGAGGGTGTGCTGTGCTACAAAAGGGTTAAGATTTCTCAAGGATTTCTTTTCAACAACAAAGAAGAAAAAATGCCTCTCCTCTACATTTACATCTCATTCTGATGAATGCTCACGGCCTGACAGCGAACAAGTTGGATAACAGCCTCGCTGTCCACTGTTCCGTTTCAATTCCGCCTCGTCTAATCCCAAGTATTTGAATTCGGAAACACTTTCCTTCAGCATTTCGGCATCACTGTAGACATATTGAGCTGTCAAATCAGTTGCTATTTTCTCTCTCATCCAGCATTCCTGACTATTAAATTACACAGCATGAAAAAACTTGACTCAATCAAAGCCTTCAGAATCACAACACAGGCTACTGAAAGCCACTGACACTTTCAATCACGGCTGATTTTACCTACACTTTATCTCTGCGTCTGAGTGGATACAACAACCGGTGATATTAATCTTAAAATTTGCCTCACCCTGTGCCTCAGTTTTAACTTGAGGAGAGGCTGTAATTCTTCATGTAATACCAAATAAAAATTTCGCAAAATCACATATAGAGCGATAGATTTCTGTTTCATACAAAATAGATGGAAAAGAAACCCTCAATGACAACAGCATATCTTGTCTCAGGGAGATGGCGAAGCTGGACCACAATTTGTTGTCGTATTTTGCTCTAGATTGCAGTGTTGCCTTTCCTGCCACCAGCAGCCAGCCTCGTCTATCTCTTTTGCGGCGTGTTTGTCTTTCTCTTTGTTGTGACAGACGAGACGTATCATGCTTTCTCGAGTGAGAAACTGCTGGTTATGTGAGGCATTTGATTCCAATATATCTACTCGGTGCGACGCAGATACTGCTCCAGCGCATGCTCCTGGCTTTATTAAGAGTCGTACACAGTGTGGGGGAAGTCAACAACCATAAACATTCCCAGCATCTTGCAAACAGGTGAGGTTGTTAGGCGCGGTATGTCCAAACATGCCAACATAACTCTTAGACTCTTATCACTTTATACTTGTATAAATTCTCTTGATCTTCTGTGCAGATCTCCACTATGTCTACTGCTTTATCTAGCACCTTGTATATGTAACCACCTCATCTGACACAGTGATAGATCTTTGACTGTGACTCGCTCTACAGGCTGAGCTAGTTGCAAATACTTTTCTATCCGCAGACACTGCACTGTCTGTATGAGTCAATGCTCCTCGTTAACAAGGTGGGGTTGAAGTTCTCTTGTGTGTGGCTTTTTTTCTCTCTCTCTCTCTCTCTCTCTCTCTCTCTCTCTCTCTCTCTCTCTCTCTCTCTCTCTCTCCTTCCTCCCAGCTCTGCTTTTCTTTCTTTTTCTGTCATTCGCACATCCTGGCTTTGTACATTCAACATTTCTTCCATTTTTCAAGGTAACACACATCTGCCAGAGGTGTAAAGCACAAGCAATCCATGTGTGGTTTTATTCGCACCGCTTCAAGTTATCCATCTTCATAAATCTCATTCCTTTGTATGCGCCAGGGCTGAGCTCTTCCCTTGACATACAAGATCTTGCCTTGCTGTGTGATAGAAAAGGAACAGAATGAACAATGTTCTTGCCCTTTTACTGTCCCATTTTTTTTTTATTACACTATCTTCTGTCCTATTGGTTTCTTTTAGTTTTCATCTCAAATTAAACTGAAATTCAGAAATTCATTTATAGTGCTATTTTATTTCTAACAATTCTGATAAACATAAAACGCCTTACCTGTGACACAAGGAAGAGGTATAAATGAGATGTTTCCTGACTGGTAGGTGAGTGTGTCCCAGCAGGACCTGTGACTTGTGGTGTCACCTGTGACAACTGACTCTGAGGTGTGAACATTTCCAAAGACCTAAGGAATGAAGGAGGGTTGAGCTTCACATACAGTCATGCACACACCCTCACCACCTGGACTTGTTTTGCATGTGCAAATCTGCCTCAGGGCACTTTAAGGGAAGAGGATAGATGAGTGAAACAGAGATAACATCAGACAAAAGGAACAGCATTGACAATTGGACATGGGATCGGGCAACGATAATGACAGTTAAACCAAAAGCATTTAGAAGAACAGGTAAACACCAGGCAGGAGGATGAAACTGATGTCCATCATTAAAGTCTAGTCTGTGAGTCAGTGCGCGCACCGCTGGTTTCAGGCATTTAACCTTTAGATCCCGCTCAGTGTCTGCTTCATCAACTTCTATTTACTTCCCAACTTCTGCAGGGCACTGAGAAAAAAGAACAAAGAAAACTGGGGATTTCAGGTGTTAATTGTTAGCCTGAAAGTATGATAAATATCTAAATAGTTTTGAATCAAAAGTGAAAGACAACACTGGGGAAATTCCAGTATTGAAATTGTGTGTTTACTGATGTCACTAAACACATATCAAACAAAAACACATCCCAAGATCCCCAATGGCATTATATTCAAATTCCAAAGACCGTCAGTCCTGTATCACATTTCCTTTCTCAGCACTTACACACACAACATAATCAAAATTAACATTCACATCACAGCCAATCCCTGTAGGAAAGAGTATAATAGCTGTGTCTTCATGGCAAACACATTCCACAGGAGGGAGGGATTTCTCTAAATAGCTCTAGACCTCTTGGTTTGTTTTTTATTATTTGTTTGTGTGTTTGTTGGATTCTTTTTTCGGAGTGTTTATTTTAAAACTGAGTGAAAATTGTCACATAACAGCGATTCGGCTATTTACACCTGTTCGAAATGCCCCATGGCTCCCTAAGCACCTTTTTTTTGCGCCGTTAAAAAACGGTGTACAGGATGGCGCAAATTTTTGCATTGCACCATTTAAGATGGGCAATATACCAAGTGGTGTTCTAAACGCCTGTTGCCGATAGGTGCTTATTAGACGCTATGGCAGAAAGACCTCAGGAAGTCAGATGACGTAGTTTAAACAGTGACAAAGTACATGTGGGAAGGAGTTGTGCTGGGTCAAGCATATGACTTTTCCCCAGGACACTGGGATTTGATTTCCATGTGTATCCTACTTATAATGTTTTAAAAAAAAAAAAAATGCGATTCAGTTTTCAGTCGCAGTTTGGTAAGCATTAGGCACCAAAACTACTCAGTTAGGTTTAGCAAAAGATCATGTTTTGGGTTAAAATTGACCCTTTCTCAACGTTAACTATGCGTTAGAAAGCCTCTCCGCCATGTGTAAATAGCCACATTGGCTATTCCATCTGGGGTGCAAATAGCATTGTCGGCTACATAGACCTGGGTACAAATAAAATCTACCTTTTTTGTCTTTAGTGTCCAATTGATGCACTGAAACACCTGCTCCCTAGTTGTGATGTGTGTGGAAGTGAATAGGCGAACAAAGGCAAGCATTAACACATTAGGAAAACGTACTTTAAGGCATTAAGGTTTTACTGGGAAGATGAAAGCAAACACAGAACACTGTTAAAATTGTTATGTTTTTACTGTGTTGTTGCTATGTCAACCAGAGAGAGAAAAGAAAAGAACAGAAGTCCTAAGGGTAATTACTAGGTTAATTTAGGGTGTGTCAATAACTTTACTTACCCACAAGCCACATTGCAGGTTTTCACATTTGCTTCCTGTTTGCACACAAATACACCAGTCAGTCATTCAAAAAAGATAGCTCAGAATAGTTCAGTCTGCACAAGGATGATTTCTGCAATAAATACTATACTATCTTGTATTGAGAGGAAGCAGACAGTGAGAAGATCAGACAGAGAGAGAGAGAAAGAGAGATGAATACATTTCGACAAAGAATATGTTATGCCCTCCATTGGCCTCTAGAGAATGCTGATGCTCCATCGTTCTATTACAGTTTTTTTTTTCTGACAAGCAGAGGGGGGAGGAGAGCAAGAGAGAGGGGAGAAATGTTAAGTAGACAGAAAAACAGAGGATCCTATCTCTCCTATTAAAAAATACGCAGCCAAATCATTTGTGAGAAAGAAAGACAGAAAGAGGCAGCACAGCAAGAGAGGCCACAGAGCTGGGTGTCAGTGGTTTTATCGTGGAGAAACAAGCTATTCCGGATTATTTAATTGTACCAACCAACAGATTGAATATTTAAAGCAGCAGCAGCCTTTTGGTGAAACTAAAGAAATGATTGTTGCATATCACAGTGAAAGCTCTATGATGACTTGTGGGTCTTCATTAGGACTCTCTTCACTTGGCCATCGACTTCAGCACAATGAGCACTTTGGAATGAACATTACATGTGAACATATTTGTTTATTCATAGCTGTTTTTTTACAGTGAATTTTTTTTGAGTTTTTTTTAATTCTGACCCTGTGTTTTTTATTGTTCCATCTCCATCTAATCCAGCTAGTCTGCTGGTGGTATTTTCGCATGCATTTTTTTTTATCATCACAGTGCAGGTGGTCTTCACCAGGAAATGATGTTGGTTGGCTTTTCTGGCGCAGGTAAAATGGAGTGTGACCATTTGCCACAAAGAATTCAACAACTTTCACAGTAAAAATTAATGTTATTCTCTACTCATATGTCTTTTATATTATAAGTTCTACCAGTTGGTGTAGAGACTGCATTTGGACTCCTCACACACCACACCAAAATACAACATGATCAGCCCACTGACTACCCTGTTCAGGTGGAAAACCATTAAATATCTCAACATAAAAAGTAAAGTTCCAAATGACAACCAGTCCTGCATCGTAGTGTATAACCTTGTAAAGACCAAACATGTCCAATAAATAATAACAGGATGACTTGGTGGCTGATCGAGTCTGTCAAAGCTGTGCAAAGACATTTAGAAATCACAAGTAGCTACAGAAGGCTCCAACACACAGGTATGTGATATACCATTGCAAAGCTGGTTGGCACTAGACAATCTATTTCTATTGTGTGCGCCTCCACTTTGCTGTGCATTCCACTTAACACAGTGCACAGTATGAGAGAGACATGCTCCTTGCTCTTCTGTTTATGTGGTGGGAGGTAGAAGACATCTGGCTGAATCATTCTTGACCTAAATGAACTCTAAGAAACAAAATCAGCCCCCACACACTGTCAATACTTTAAATCTAGTGAATGGCTACATTTTAGTCAAGCAACAATCTTTGAGTCATTTCTGAATACAGAAGTGATCAGTTTTTCAAAATGAATTCTAAAGATTTTGAAGGCAAAGTGCAGATTGTTGCCCGAAAGCGAGTGTGATTCAGATCTCTTTTTATTAGAGCATATTTGAAATAGACTGAAAGGTACATAAATCATGTGAGTCAGCAGGGCAGACTTAATGGCAACAATTCAGGAGAGGCCTGCCTAATAATGTAGGTTCACAAGGGTCCTCAGGACCTAAAGAATGAAAAGCAGCTCAGACTGTGGGATAGAGGAATATATCACTGGGTGTTTTTTTCCTAAACACCCCAGCAGAAAACATTTTAGGTGAAAGCGGCCAAAAAAGCAAACTTCCTCCAAACTCCCCATGAAAGTGCAGACGTTGTAGAAACGAGAGAACTGAGCCAAATGAGCAAGTCACCGGATCAACACCTTTTTCCCCCACACTGCTTCTGGAAAGCACCATTTAGCCGAATGTCTTCAAATGGTGGATTACGCCTCGACACCTTGGACAGTCTGCACAATGTCTGCTGGCAATCCTAGATGCATGGTGGAGTCTTGTTGCCTCTGTCTTTTTATAGGGCAGAGCCCCAAAAGATTAAATAGGCTCAGATTAATTGGTTGAGCGTGTGTACGCATACCCTCATAATGCTGAAGCCACTAAGTGAGTGGCAAAGCCTCATTAGAAACGTGTGAAATAAAACCAAGTGACAAGTTTATTATCTGCATGGAGAATCAAAGAAAATGAGAGCTTTATACTTAAAAAAAAATCAAAAAAATAATCTTGAGAAGAATGCAAGCTTCTGTCTCTCGCAACAAATTACAAAAAAGGGTTTATGGAAAATATGGTAGGCTATTATTGTTTGAAGTAAACTGCAAATAATAATCAATAGAGGCTGACAGTTGTTCATTTGGTTTCACAAAACTGTCATTATTATTTTGACAGTGGTATATACTGATGTTTAAAAATGCAACACAGCTTTTTACTTGTCAGGTCAGAACTGTGTTTTACTTCAAATATCCAAACAATGCTGTATCCATCCATGCTGACACAGTCATCCTGTCTGGTCTCATGCCTTGTCTCTCTGATCATCCTCAACAAACCAGCCTCCCACCACTCAGCCCTATCCTACCCCACCCCACCACCCATCCCTTTCCCAGAGACCTGTCCCGTTACTGTCACACTCCAGCATGGGTCATTCCCCAGTGTGTCAGAGCTGGTGACACCGAGCCAGCCCCCCCTCGCTGCCTGTTGTGACAGCATCATGTCTCCACCGCCACTGTGGATGATGTCAGGATGTCCCCTTGAGGAGGTCACACACACACACACACACACACACACACACACACACACACACACACACACACACACACACACACACACTGTCTTTCTACACTGACTCCACGGAATGCTGGTCTGTGGACAGAAAGGTTTGTCAAACTGTCTGGGGAAAAAAAACACAGCTGATTTATGCTCAGAGCCATTGATTACAGCCAATCAAATAACCATTAATTATACCTAATGCGCTCCACATAAAATGCAGGAAATGAGCCATAGGATATTAGTATTTGAACCATACACTTACAGTGTCCAACGGATCTACATTCTGGTGTATTTTGACAATAGACAGGTTGGTAAACCGCACTCTCGAACAGCGAGTGTCCAGTCATAGTTCAGCAGCTACCTAGGAATGGCAGGCCAAGCTGTGAATGCCTTTGTGTGGTAGGGTGCCTGGGGATTTAGTAAGAG